AAAGCTAGCCAGAGGTGGGAAGTGCCAATTTTGAGTGTGCTAAACTAGAGTAGCTCCAGCTTATTAGATTTTCGGCTATTGCCTTTTCCCCCAAAATTTTTGGCGGCAAGCTTTCCTGCGTTGTTTTCCAGCCAGCGCGTGGTCAAGGTCCGCTACTCCTTATAAAAAGAGCCTAGAGGCACAGTGAGGGATCATTACAGTTACAGTTCAATATTACCCTCGAACGGTTGACGAGATAGGTAGAGTCCGCTTCTGCTATCTCACGGTCCTCCACGAGTGCGGTGTTAAATCTTCGATCTCGGACACTTCGCGCTGGTTCGGTTCGCTGTACATTTCATACCGAAAATAAAAGTAAGTCAAATTTAATTACTAAAGTGACAAGTCTGTTCTTTTTCTCTCAGTTCAACGCTGATGTGTTTTTGTTAGAGTTAGAAATTTGGTATCGGTAAAATACCACGCTACATGATTAAATAAAAGAATTATTTCTCACGTAAAGTCTAGGGCAATCACATTTACTCCGGATGGTACTGGTGGATCCTAAACTGGTCGCGAACTGAAGCCATTTTACCCCCTTGCGTAACCTCTAGAGTGTAACTACCTTTGCTTGTTACGGTACTGCTAACCTCTAGATCGCGAACGGGATACTATTCGACACATTGTATTGTATGTACCAGGTATTCTTAATAAACCCGAGGTGCGCCGCAAATGAGTGCATTGCATTATTGCTTGACAACCGCGTCGATTTCATTAAAACGGCCATCCTCGCCCGCTTTCAAATACTTAGACAAGAAATATAACTTCTTTTTGTCCCCGCGTTCCTCCTACGCGCCCAGTGCGAGTCCCGAGTTATTAGGTGAAAGCTGAGACTCGAATAATACGTTGCGCTGACGTAACACATTGATCACCTTTATAATTTCTTTAAGTGTTTTTGTCCAACCCAAATATTGCAATAAAAACAAAGAGATATACTTATACAAATATGTTTTATTTGGAGCATTGCTTAGTGTATTTTTTCAGACTCACAAATGTCAAAATTTGTTTAGTCATTTCAGAGTTCGATACTATTATTGCACCGCATTAAGCTACCATAAATTTATGTTTTGTCTCTTTTCTCTTGTTTATACGTAAAAAGTTCATTTTTTAGTTTGGTAATTAATGCATATTCGTAATTTATAATAAATGTTAACAATTTTTACCATTGGATTTTTCTTCAATTTTCGCTTAAAAATTCTATCGTAATTTTTAATCAACTGTTTGTTTAATGCTAACATATTTTTGATAGCTGTAGTAGGATTACAAATGTAAAACTTATTTCTTTCTTTAAACCTCTAAAACCAAAGGAATAATAAGGCAATCTTGACATTGTTAATTTAAATTATTTTTTGCTTTTTTTCTGGCAATAAATTTGCATGATATGTTGTAAAACCAAAGAATTTATCGTAATACTGAATTATTTGTAAAAGTTTTTTGATTATAGAGTAATGGCTGCTAAATAATCCTTTTTCATCAGCCTAAAGGTGGTAACATTATTGCACCTTTGCAAACACAATTATTTTCGATTTTTTTGGACTACACTAAACTGCTAAGTAAAAAGAACAGTTATACATGGTTCATAATAAGAAAAAAGAACATTTACAATTTATATTAGCGAAATAATATAAAACACATTAATTGAAAGGATGTGTTTTATTATCATATTTTTTTTAACGTTATCATTCAAATTCCAATGGTGAATCACCTACAAGATTCCTCATAGCTAAGGTACTACGACCATGCATGACTCACATACATGCACGCTAGCCCATGATGACCGGAAAAAAATCNAAACTGCTAAGTAAAAAGAACAGTTATACATGGTTCATAATAAGAAAAAAGAACATTTACAATTTATATTAGCGAAATAATATAAAACACATTAATTGAAAGGATGTGTTTTATTATCATATTTTTTTTAACGTTATCATTCAAATTCCAATAATTCTCACTTTTTTAAAAATATTATTCGTTTTCTCCAATAGTGATACGCCAAAGAACTTTAACAATTTACTTTTTTCAATAATGCGGATTCTCAATCATACGAACATTTAAGAATAACTTCTAACAAAAATTTAAAAGCATGCAAATCAACAATAAAGATCTGATTACCTAGGTTATAATTACAAGACACGTTGATAATGACGATGACGATGACGATGACGATGACGATGACGATGACGATGACGATGATGATGACGATGACGACGATGATGATGATGACGACTTTGACGACAATGACGATAATGACGATAATAACGACGATGATGGCGACAACGATGGTAATTTTAAAATCGTCTCTTTACAGAATATTTTTAACATTTACTGATACAGTTTTTATTACTTTTACGAGATACATGATATTGATTGATATATTTAATAAATATTTATTTTCATAATTTTTTACATTGAAGAGTAACCAAATCTTTGAAGAAAATATTTAAAAAAATCAAAAGTAACTACATTTTTTTCAGTCTCGTAGATACACGGAAATAATTAGATTCAAAGTAACTCCAATTTGATGAGTATATTAAAACAGTTTTTTTCCTACTACACTTCATCTTTTTGCTAATTTACCATACAAATGTTGTAATGCACCTAGTATCGACGTAAGTTACGTTGGCTAAACAAGAATTAACTGTATTTATTTCCAAAGAAATGAAAAATTTATTACAATACAAGACTTCTAATGATAGTTAGTTAATAATTAGACGAATTCCCCTACTAATAATTTTCTGAAATTTCTTTCTGATTTTTCAATTAAGAATATTCCGCTGGCAAAATCACACGTGAAAAATAGTTATGAGATAAAAATAAATTAAAAGATATTATCATTTCACCTGGTTACACTCTTCTTCGTCTAGATGTTGTTAGTTTATTCACTAAAACTAGTAAAACCTTATTCATAAATGCAATAAGACATTTTTGGAAATTCTTGAATGGTAAAATCAATGTTTGTCTCAATGAATTTTGCTCATCTTTGATTTTGAATTTAACTTTTTTACATTTCAACAAAAAATTGTGTCAACAAGTTTTTGGCTCTCCAATAGGCAGTCCCTGTAGTCCAGTACTGTAAGATCTTGTAATGCGTTTACTTGAAACTTCATGCTTAGAAAAGTTATGTTTTGATGTTCCACTGTATCTGCGGTATGTGGATGATATTCTCATATGTGTGCCTACTTAATATATAAACTATACTAAAAACATTTTTAATAGCTATTGTCCAGAATTACAATTCACTGTTGAGACATGCAACATCAGCAGCATTAGTTTCTTAGATTTAAAAATCATTATTCAACAAAATAACACAGTACTAACTAATTGGTACCAAAAGCCCACACATTCAGGCCGATACTTAAATTTTCTCTCCCACCATCCAATACAACATAAACTAGGTATCATGTACACATTAGTAGACTTTTCCATTAGCTTAGCAGACACTCAATTTCATAACGATAATTTAAAATTAATCATCAAATTTTTACTAGCTAACAACGATCCTGGAAAATTTTTTGATAAATTTTCAAACAATAGAATAAATACTTTAAAAAACATGAAAATGATTGACAATTGCAATAGAAACAATAATAATTATAAAGTAATCTTATTATTACCATCTATGCCCCACTTGCACGGTCTTATTAAATATTTTTGTCAGGAGCTTCACATTAATCTTGTATACAGTTTGAACAATAAATTGAATTCGATATTTTTACTGGGAAAAGATGTAACAGAGCAACCCAATAAAAATAATGTCGTTTTCCACGTACCATGTGCAAATTGCAACTGCTGTTATGTCGGTCAAACTTCGAGAGCTTTAAAATTAAGAATGGCAGAACGTAAAAGAGACATAGAGAAAAATAAGAATACATATGTACTATCACAACATAGCATTGAATTTACACATAACTACAATTTTAATAAAATAAAAATTTTAGACACAGAGCAAAATTATAAAAAAAAGCACTTGTTTTCCAAAATATTAGATATACGTTATTTCAATGATAATATTAATAAACAACAGGATCCAGAAAAATTGAAAGATTGTTATAAGTCTCTAGTTAAGTCAATTAAGAAAGGAAGCTTTTTCTATGTACACGATTTGAGCGCCCCTTTCATTTATGGTACTAGGAAAACATGATCTGTTTCCGTATGTTTCACAAGGAACTGCTTGCGATTCTTATGTGATTGTATTGTGTGCGTATATTGTTTCATTTGTATATGTGCAGGGTATAAGAGCAACAAAACTTGAAACTCTGACTACATTACGATTTTACATCCCCTTCGTAAGAGTCAGAGGTATATTATACACGTTACTTAATTTGCGTTGATTGTATTTATTAAAATGTGTATTGTAAAGAATTTTTTATTACTCATAGATTTTTGTACCTGATGAGGACCGTGACATTGTCCAAACGGCCGAAACATCGTTTTGTTTTTTAACAAATATAAAATTTGACAGTACCACCATTGGACGTTATTTCAATTAAAATATTTATTAATTTACTGTACTCCTTAAACAATTTTTAGCCACAATTTTAGAAATGAACTTGAAGTATTAATTAGTCATGAAAATACGAAAAAAAAAGTATCCTTTAACTATAACGAGAACGAAAAAAATTGTTTGGAATGACTTTTTCTTGTTTAGTACATTACATAGGTATTAAAAATTATAATATTTTAAGATGCTGTGTGTCAGAATGATCTCTGAAAAATGCTACATCAAATCTTTGGTATGCAAACGTCTTTATCTCATGATTTTATTCATGAATCTTTTTCCAAATTGAATGTGATTTGAATTTCTTGCAATTAAAGAAATTTCACGAATTTTTTATTTTTCTTTACTTCTTAAATGATGATGTTGTGCCTTTAATTATGCATAAGAAAACGTATAAGTTTGTTTTACATGATAATGTTTAATACATAAACTTTTGAGGAAATAATGGTACATATTTTTTTGAATCTAGGTAGTCATAATGATGTTTTAAAAGTTATTCGTGAATGTTTGAACTATGATATTGTTTGCATACCGTTTGGTGGTGGTACATCTGTAAGTGAAGCATCAAAATGTCCAGACAATGAAAAACGGATGATAGTTATTCTGGATACAACCCAAATGAATCGAATACTGTGGATTGATTCAGAAAATCTTTTGGCATGCTGTGAATCTGGAATTATAGGACAAGATCTTGAGCGAGAGCTTAGGTTAAGAGGACTAACAGCTGGTCATGAACCTGATTCTTATGAATTTTCCAGGTATAATAATGCGATTTGTAAAGATCTTTTGCTTTTAAAAAAAATTTTAATTCACAAAAATTATCTGCACTATAATGAAACGTTTTCTGCATTAAGTATTTTTTCGACTGCTCATTTTCATATTTTTTTATTACTGTTCTCACCTCTACAACCAGCCATACTTGATTATACAAAAAGTTTCTGTCTAGTAGAATTGTGGTCGTACATGTAACATGGGATATGTACCCCTAAGTAGTTCTAACCAGAATTTTATTTACGGGTTATTCAAGTGTCAAAAGTAATATTTCACCTCATATCTAACTAACTCAATCCCTTATAAATACTATCTAACATCCTATGTCATATACTTATTATTTATAATTTTTCTCTCCAACAATTTTATGAAGCGCTCATTTTACAACATTAATTCGAAGTGGTACATCAAAGAATGTGAATAATCAACAATTTCAACATTCCTTACTGCGTATGCCCACAAGAAATATCATACACAATTTCGACAGCAACTTGTACTTGGTGTAAAATCTGAGAGATCAGCAGTTTTAACCACCAATTACTGTGTTATTATTGCACCACGATTGTACTCATGTCAATCAAGAGTAACTAGGCTTAGCTCTGATTGGTCGTTCGGATACCCAACCTGACATGTTCTCCTTAAGTTCAAGAGTATAAAAATTCCTCGCACGTAACAATATTCGCCTTTTCTCTTTCATCAAGTGCTCTAAAGTAACCATAAAAGTTGGAGAGTGAGTTCTGTTGCGTCTTTTAAGCATATGTAAGACTTAGTTCGGTGATTCGGCTACGTGTTAGAAGCGTGCATTTCTAGCAAATGTAAGACTTAGTTTAGTGACCAAGCTGTGTAAGACAAGCTCGAGCAAATCAGATCACAGTAAACTCGCCTGAAAAGTGAATCAAGGAGGAACAAGATAGAAAGGACTGTCGACTTGGGTTCTGGCGTTAAGAAGGTTGACTACCTTTAGCAGTTGACAGTCAGTTTTTNTGGACTGGTACAAAAAGGCAACTAAATTTATTTTTCAAACATATTAATACATTACATAAAAATATTGAATTCACTATGGAACAAGAAAACAACAATAGAATTAATTTTTTGGATTTAACAATACATAGAATTCACGATCAACTAGAGTATAGTATTTTCCATAAACCTACCCACACAGATTCATGCGTTTTTATGGGAGATAGTCAAAAGCGACTCTTATAACAAAAATTTTTAATGCAATTAAGAGTCAGATTTGGACAAAACTGTAGTCAATAGTAAATTAACATCTGCTTGTTTATTATGTAGATTAATCACGTCCATTAGGTCCTTGTAAAAATAATTATTAATGAATAATAATAAATAATAAATTACGTAAAGTAAATAATAAGCTACCGATGTGCGCACGCATTTCTAACCCGAAAAAAAAAACAAAGTCTAACCTCTCTCTCACCCCCCCCCACCCCAAAGGTAAACAACCTCTTTAAAAGCAGCAGCCTAACTATTGTCAACACCACGAGTACTCTCGTGTAGGATTAGGATCATCGTTGCGGTCAGTCTTATAAGATCTTGTGACGTAGAGCGCGCGGTGGCTCGGTCGGCTAGGTCGTGGATTGGCACGCGGGAGACCGTGGTTCGATTCCCGGCCAGTGCGACTTTTTCGGGCAAGTACCTCTGTGATTCTCACATGTGCTTTTTCACCACGCAATGCTCCTCGAGGAGGGTTTAGGCGACCTTCTCGCAGCAAAAATTGCCTAATTTCCTCCTACCCCCTCCCATTAATGGGAGTCCTCCCATTATTGGC